AAGTCATTAATAAAGATACTGAATAGCACTGGGCCCAGAACAGAGCCCAAACATATTGGATTGTAAAAGAGGGGGTCCCTGTTGAAATGCAAATGAACTTTGGAAATCTCCCTATAACCACAGGGCTAGGAGGAGGAGCCTGCCAGCAAAAGATATCCTCCCCACCATATACCATCTTAACTAAAGACTGAAACAACATGTTGGCATCTGACTAACATCTCCAATTGTTTTTCTCCTGTTTGGTTTGTAACATCTTGTCTGACAAAGAAACCCATGGAGCTTCAAAAGCTTGCAACAAGTATATTGTGCATTTTGGTTAGCCGATAAAGGTATCACTGATGGATTTTTGTTTCAGTTTGCTAAATGGCCAACACAGCTACCCCTGAATGTTTTCTGTATAAGCCTAGGAAGTTATTTTGTTGTTTCAGCTTGTATGCAATTAAGACTTCCACCAATAGACCAGTAATAGCACCCCAAATGAACTTATTCAACACTGTTTGACTGCTTACATGCTCTGATTCAAGGTATTTAACAATGCTACTCTGTTCAGCATTGGCCAGACCTCACCTGGAGTACTATATCCAGTTCTGGGCACCACAGTTAAAAAAGGATGTTGACAAACTGGAACATGTTCAGAGGAGGGTGACCTAGATGGAAACCATGTCCTATGAGGAATGGCTTAGGGAACTGGGAATGTTTAACTTGGAGAAGAGAAGACGGAAAGATGATATGACACACCTATTTTCAAATATCTGAAAAGATGCCATATTGAAAAGGGAACCAGCATGGTGTAGTGGTTTGAGCACTGGACTACGATTCTGGAGACCAGGGTTCAAATCCCTGCTCAGCCATAGAAATCCACCAGGTGACCTTGAGCAAGTCTATCAGCCTAAGAAGAACGAAAAGGCAACCCCCTCCGAACAGACCTTGCCAAGAAAACCACATGATACGCTCACCTTAAGGTCACCATGCACACAACAACAACAAGAACACACTGAAGATGGAGTAAGCATGTTTCCAGCTGCTCTGGAGACTGGAACACAAACCAATGGATTCAAATTGCAAGAAAGGAGATGCTGCACAAACATTAGAAAGAACTTCCTGACAGTAAGAGCTGTACCACAATGGAATGGATCGCCTCGGAAAGTGGATTCTCCTTCTTTGGAGATCCTTGACCAGAGATGGATGACTCTCTCTCTGCATGGCAAAGGTTAGATTAGGTGGCTTCTGTAGTGCCTTCCAACCCTATAATTCAATGATTACTGATATCTTTATAGATTTTTATCATCAATAAGATAAATTAGCTGTTCTTTTAAAACAGATCCACATTTAACTACCTTTTCTGTAAGGCCTTTTCTGTAGTCGCCCCCAAACTATGGAATGGCCTGCCGGAGGAGATCCGTCTATTGACATCACTGGACAGCTTCAAGAAGGCTGTCAAGACGGATCTCTTCCAGCAGGCCTTCCCGGAATAATCCACCGGCTCAACCTCCTCTCTGGAGATGCCCCCTCCTCTTTCGACCAGGCCTTTTTTTCGAGCCAGTACTCATATTCGTTGCCAGCATCTTTTTTTTTTTTTTTGGTTATTTAATATGTACTTATTTTATGTGGAGGTATTTACCTTCTTTGTATGTTGTTTTTAATATGTTTTTGGTTTAATAACTTTTTAAGGGGGGGGGAACTGTTCTTAACTGATGTATTATGTTTTTATGATGGAAGCCGCCCCGATTGTTCCCAGAGGGGCGGGATATCAAATAAAAATTATTATTATTATTATTATTATTATTATTATTATTAACTACATATAACAAATTTCTCTCATGGAATAGTTAACAGGGCAACTTTTTAAATTATTCTAATGTTGGAGATTTTTTTGTGGCTGCTTGCTTCTTGCTGCAGAAAACAAATTTTTAAAAGTAGTTTATTAATGCAATGCAGAACTAGAAAGTCATTAACTAAGCATATTTTAGCAACCTATGAAGAAGTGAACATGCTAAGCCCAACCACTTTCTCTTCCCAGTTCCTCATGTGGTAAACTATGTGGACTCTCCTCTCCTCATGCTTAGTTAATGACTACACAAAGCTACTGTCTTTGGGTTTTTCTCAAAATTCTCAGGAATATTCAAATGTCTCCTTTCATTAAAGGCATCTTTGCTTTCATAAATGAAAGGAGGCAGAAGGCATTTTCTGCAGCAACTGCGGTGCATAATTATTCCATCTGCTCCAAAGGGTTGGGTGACCCTTTGAAATAGCATGAGAGGCTATGGAAGAAAGGAGGGATGTATTAAAATCATCTCCCACACACTCATTCACATACATTTCTATTGAGGCAAGTTATCTACTATGAGTAAAGGGATGCAAGTATTCTAACTAAAACAAAGTGATTCAATCAATAGAAATTAGTACTTGAAAAGCATCTAAGGGTTAATTATCATTTCTCAAAACTTTGCTGCTGCTTTGACATCTCCACATATAAAAAAGTCACCTTCATCTCTGACACTATACTGCCATTTCCTCTCCCCGCAAAATATATGCATTCCTTCTACACACTGTGGCTTTACTTATGAGTAAATCCTAGTGAATTCTATGGGAATTAGCTCTGAATCAGCATGTTCAGGATCTACCTGCAAGTGGATAAAATTCTTATCCAGAATTTAACATGTGTATTGCTTACCTGGCTGCAAGCCCATTTATTGAAGAGCAGCCCTATCAGATTCAAGTGGGCTTTAGTTTTGGCCTTATGCCTGCTTTGAGCCTCGCCTCTGACAATAATTCTCTGTGTGAACAAAGGAGTTCCACCCACATACCGCAGCCTGCAAGAGAGTAGGCAAAGTACATAATCATTTCTTACCAAGGATGCAATCAGAAAAGGCATAATAGGGATAGCCAAAATTGTTTTTATATCAAGTTAAAATGAAGAACTCTTATAACTTCAGACTTTTGCTTGTATTACATAAGCTACTCTCTTTCTACCAACATGCCCTGAAACAGAAGAAACAAAACTATCCCTGTAACATTTTTTTTAAAAAAAAATCTGAATCCTACAAGGGACTAATCACCAGAGCTCTACAGAAATGCATGACAAGTAGTTGACAGAAAGCACCTGCTTTGTATGACTGAAAATGAAATATTCAGAACACACAATTGAAAAAGATTCCACAGAATGGGACTTGCCTCTAGTAATCATTTTCAGTCTATGAAACTCCAGAGCACCTGAAATCAAGTAAAATTAAATGGGGGAAATGGCAGTAGTGTCCTTGATAAGATATGCAAAAACATTTTTGGTGCCATTCAAAATATAATAGTCAGCATCAGTTATCATGTGAATACAGAAGGACAACTTATGAAGTGGGGAATATGTAGAGGTTGCATATACCGTGTTGTGCACTTGGGGTATGGCTTTTATTGTTTGGTCTTTTTTATTGCATTGCTCAAAGGTAGGAAATGTTAGTGGATGTTGGCTATTACTGCATGCATCAGCCCTAACCATAATAGCTCATGGTGACAAATGATGGGAAGCCAGTGAGATTTGTAGTATAAGAATATCTACAGTCACAGTTGCATATAGCCATAGGAGTCTAATAATATTCAATTCTTGAATACTGATTCAACAATATATTCACATTCTTGAATCAATACTGCATTTCTGTTGCATAAAAACAGCTATACAGTACAAAAGCAATGACCTGTTTCCTAAGATCAAAACACAATTTTGGTTATCAAAAAAGGTTTATACTGAGACCTATATCAAAAGTCATACTTCTGCCTTTCCTCTCCTTACACTTTCCAAAGTTGTCCAGAGAGTCAAACAGGCTTCCAGGACAGATTCAGAGGGATGTGCATAGGATGCAGTGGCTCTTTCAGTAACAGATATAATTGTATGAAATGGTAGATTTTGATGCTATGATCTTAAAATGCTGCTCCTGTAATATAGCTACACTACAACGATTAAACATTAGAAAAAATGTGATAAATTACTCATTCTTTGAATATTCCTATGAAAGGAATATTGCTAAAACAAAGGAGGGGAGAGGACAATGACAGTAGCAGCTGTACCACACTATGGCCTTAATCCAACATCCTCTTAGCACAAATACTCATATGAGGGACACACTACATAAGCAGTATGCAACCTCCATGAAAAATAGCAATATTTTCCAGCAATTGTTTCTATCAGAGTATAAGGTGAACTATTTATGGGGGGTTGCAGACTGCCAGAAATAGTGCAAATTGAGTCCA